TACTGCATCCAGTTTTGGTCACCACGATGTAAAAAAGATGTTGAGACTCTAGAAAGAGTACAGAGAAGAGCAACAAAGATGATTAGGGGACTGGAGGCTAAACATATAAGGAACGGTTGCTAGAATTGGGTATGTCTAGTTTAACGAAGAGAAGGACGAGGGGGGACATGATAGCAGTATTCCAATATCTCAGGTGCTGCCATAAAGAAGAGGGAATTAAGCTATTTTCCAAAGCACCTGAAGGCAGGACAAGAAGCAACGGGTGGAAACTAATCAAGGAGAGAAGCAACCTAGAACTAAGGAGAAACTTCCTGACAGTGAGAACAATTAATCAGTGGAACAGCTTGCCTCCAGAAGCAGTAAATGCTCCAATACTGGAAGTTTTTAAGAAGAGACTGGACAGCCATTTGTCCGAAATGGTGTAGGGTTTCCTGCCCGAGCAGGGGGTTGGACTAGATGACCTCCAAGGTCCCTTCCAACTTTACTATTATTATTATTATTATTATTATTATTATTATTATTATTATTATTATTCATTAGCCTATATAATAACATGAGAATCTAAACGTAAAACAGATTATTGCAATAATAAATATCTGAAAATTAATGCATTAAAGACCCTAGAAATTATCTGGCCACAATAGTTGTGTTGAACAAGGAAACGGAGTGACTAATTGATAATTTATACATAAATGGCAAATAACTAGAGCAAGTAGTGTGCACTTGGTGGAATGTTTGCTAATGGTGCAAAATTGGATGGGAAAAATTTAAAATCTGATAATACTGGTAAAAAGGTCCTGAAAAACAAGTGTTCTGTTGAAAATTAGAAAAGTCTGTTGATATGAATGTAAATAAATGCACATATATGCAAGCTTCTACCCAACATGATATATAAGAAGTGAGGTTTAAATATAATAGTAGTAGCAGTAGCAGTAGTAGTAGTAGTAGTAGTAGTAGTAGTAAAGTTGGAAGAGACCTTGGATGTAATCGAATCCAACCCCCTGCTCAGGCAGGAAACCCTACACCATTTCGGACAAATGGCTGTCCAAGGAGAATTATTTGTTTTAAATTTATTCTGTACATTTTCCACCCACTTCTACAGAAAATTTTTACCATAACATCTTTCTAAGATATGTGTGTGGCAAAAACAGAGGTGGTATCAATAATAAATGGTGCTGAATGATTGGATACAGAAGTGTCTGTGACTTTAAGATAGTTTGGTCATTCAAAGAGAACAAATAAGGATCCAACTGCAAAACAAATATTTAAAGTAAAAGCTCCGCATTGGCCAGATCAAACATATGGCCAAAGCTGGCCATATGAGCCCACACTTGTGAGCACTGCTCCCGGCTTTTAATTGCCAATTCATGTTCATGGACCCTAGTCCTGAGCCTTTTAAAAGTAATTGCTCGCACCTTCTTGCAATTAATTCTGTAAACCACAGACAATCTTTGATCATCGGGGAGCGGCTCTTTGGGGTCCATGATCTTGGTTATTAGGGTCTGCTCAGGCCTATGGGCAATGCTCACATTGTAAGGGACCAATTTACATTAAACAGTCTGGTTTATTGTATCCTGGTGTTCGTTTTTCTTTCTTTTAATCTGGTTAATATGATGCCCAGGATTCGCATTTTTAGTATTTTAGTATTTTAAAGAATATATATTTACACACGCACACACACAGATTTTTTTTAAAAAAATCACTTGTTCCAACTATGAATTTAGGATGTAATCTATGATCTAAATTACCAATCTACAAACATCTGATTATAGATTAAATGTTTTACTGAATAATTAATAAACTATTTATTTTCTATTATACAAAATTATTATAATTTTTATTACATGTTAAAAAAAGAAAACGTGGCAGGGAAAAATGCTTTGATTTTTCATTTACCACAATAATTTACAGTTCACAGCTTCATGTTATCATACTTTGTTCATCTATTATTTTCAGAAAATAACTGTAGCTAAATTAGAGATTTTCACATAAATGTTGCTCCCTTTATCTTCTTCCGAATATGATTATGATGATTAATATATTAAACACCATACACAAATAGATAAAATTATTAATTAACTTTGTTTGCTGCCAAATCCTTGTGGACTTGCAGTGATAAACAGCATACTAACATATCATAAAATATGCACAGTAAAAGAAAATAGCATAATACAGATCCATAAACAAAACCACCAAAAACAGAGAATGCACAATAAATAAGTAATCATTCAAATGCTTGTGGTAATGAGAATATGAATGCAACCTTAAGTGTTAGAGGTAAATGACCACCACCTCAATAAATGAATTATGGGGGAACGTTTAAGGCTTGGGACTCTTTCAAAGCAGAAGTGAAACCATGTAACATGTGACCTATTGTAAATGGGGTGCTGTGATTTTCCAAGAATTGAAAGTTACTATCAAACTACATCAGCAAAGAACTAGACTCAATTTCTCTTCAAACCTCTTCTTCCTCTTGCCTTACCACCACATCCTCTATTTTCACCATCCTACCTTTTCCTTTCATATTCTAGCAAGTACCCATTTTTGCACAATCAACTGTTGCCATCATCAAAATAAATTATTTTTGTATTCAGATTACTAAATGTAAGAATAAATTTACCCATCTATGTTCAGTAAGTGCTGCCATTTGAGGCAGCAAACACAGATTTGGCCTGTCCAAAGAATTCTATGATATGATAATTGTGCCAGAATTTGCTAAATGTAATAAACAATTACATGAAGAAAATTATATAAGACTAAGGATATATCCTGTGGATGTTTAAAAGCCCTTCCTTCCTTCCTTTTCTTCTTTCTGCTTTTGAGTCAGTGTTGACTCTTGGTGACTGCCTAGACTAGTCCCTATAGTTTTTTGGGCAAGTTTTTCAGAAGTGGTTTGCCTGCTTCATGGGCTAAAAGAGAGTTGGCTTTGTGCCTAAGGTGGAACTAACTCACAGTCTCTGGTTTCTAGACTTGTGCCTTAATCATTGCACCAAAATGGCTGTCATCTACAGGCATGGCATGCCATATTTCAAAGCCTGATAAAAAGGAAGATGCTCACAGAAGTGGAAGATTAACCACTTGTAAAAAATATGGTAAACTTCTCATTTCATTCTTTTCTATGTTTAACTAAAAATGGTCATATATCTCCATAAAGATAGCTCATGCTGCCAAATTATATTTAATTAACTGTTTAAGACATAGACTGTCAGCTGCCCAAGACCGTAATTTCTTGAAAGATACTATTAAGATTTATTATTATTAAAATTTCAGAAAAATCCTTTCCTTCTTCCATAGTTCTTTTTTCTCTACAAAGTTAACTGATATTTAAAAACATTACTATATAACACACAAATAGCTTTGCCTGTTACTGAATAAGCTTAATAAAACTTCATGACAAAAAAATCAAACACAACATTGACAAGATTGAGTAAAACTAGTAGAAAATTTGGAGGCACAAACTGCTAAAGCAGCGGTTCTCAACCTATGGGTCAGGACCCCATTTGGGGTCGATCGACCATTTTTTCCCCTTTTCTGGCAGGTGCCTTACCTCCCTTGGGCTGGGCCAGCCGGTGGCCCAGCCGGTGGTCGGCCTGCTCCGTCTCTGCTGCTTGCCAGCTATGCCTCGGCCGGTGCAGGGGGCAGCACACGCATGCGCGGCACTGCCGGGCAGGGAAAGTCCTCGACTTACGACTAGTTGGGTAGTCCTCAACTTATGACCGGTTTAGTTCTTGACTTACGACTGGTTTAGTCCTCGACTTACAACCGGTTGGGGGTCACGGCATTAAAAAGGTTGAGAACCACTGTGCTAAAGGGACATCCACAACAAAACTATCTATGAGTTACAGTTTTCTATGAGCAGAACAGGATCTACAGATGCAAAGGCTCACACGGTATTTCAAATTAATGCATTTTGCTATTTGGAAGCAATTACACAAAATCTCAATTAATTTAAAATTAGGTTAAGAAACTGTCATATTTGAAAGCAATCCACATAGTCCAGCACTTTTTATTTGATTTGAGATAATTCTCAAGACGCACAGGCAGGAGGCATCATTTGTAGTCCCACTATCCATTGATATCCACCATAGAACTCAGGAAATAAATCGCGCATCTTATATATACTATGTATTCTGCAATCCATCACAGTATTTATGTCCAATTATTATTTGGACAATATATATATATATATATATATATATATATATATATAACGTGTGTGTGTGTTAAATAGTTTAGATTTCATCTTTTGAGACTTTATTTGTATGGAGTGTCTATTCGATTCTTATTTTTATTTGTTTAAGAATGTTTTGAGACAAGTCTCCCATAATCTGGTGTTCATCAGACGTTTTACTCTTCAGTTCCTTCAGTCAACAACCATGCTGACTGAAGGATGATGGGAGTTGGGCTACAACATCAGTTGGAAACTAAGTCACTGTATGCTATTTAAGGGACCAACATATTCAAAATTGCAGCTGCCTAATGTGTCAATGAAAGCTAGTCTAGTGTAATGGTTAAGACATCAGACTAGAAACTGGGAGGCCATGGATTCTAGTCCTGCCTTAGGCACAAACAAACTGGGTTACTTTAGGACAGTCACTCTCTCTCAGCCCTAGGAAGAAGGCAATGGCAAATCACTTTCAAAAAATGTTACCAAGAAAACTGCAGCAACTTGAACAGACAATCACCAGAAGTCAAAAAACAGACTCAAAGGCAAAAAAAATATCAGTAATAAAAATTTAATTTGACCAAACAGAATTCTAAACAAAGAATGAGTAATATGCATATATGGAATATGTTTTAACAAGTCCAGAAAACATGGAATGTAGTCTAATGAAATATTTTCCTCAGATTTTTTTCCCTTGGAAATTAATAACATGCCAGTTTTATCAATTGATACTCATATATTGTGAAAGCATAAATGTTTGGAGTCCTCTTTTCATTTATCTTCTATTCAAGTGGAACATTGCCAGAGAAGATATATTGCTTCAGTTATTACATACCTTGCATCCAGCATGTGTCCGAGTCTTCATTAATGGAGTTGTGGTGCACAACTCAATGGCTTCTGGCTCATGGAAGATTACAGTGGGAAGTGGTTCCTTCCGAAGAGTTAAGACATTTAGCTTAGTCTTCAACATGGTCTGAAAATGCTAAATGAAATAAAAACAAAGATAGTATGGAGGGGTTTTTTTGGTTTTATAGAATTTACGTGCTTGAATAAAATAAAAATATATGAAGGTCAATATTTCTACCTGACTTGTTTTAATGATCTGTGCAGCGAAATGGAAATATTGCTGGAAAGAATGAAAATTGCTTAAGTTCATGTAAACAAGCAAGAGAGGAAGATAATGTCATCTATGTTTTATTTTTTCCTTCTTTAAAATTATAAATGATACAGATGAAAGAAAGAAAAGAATGTAAGCATTGTTATCTAATAATCTCCAGTTCATTTCTCAAAATCATTGTAAAAATGCTGAATGGCAATACAATCCCCCAGTAGTTTTCTGTGTAATATATCTTGTTATTAAAGCAAAGCCTGTATTTTGCCTCAAAAGGGCAGGAAGAAAACATCTAGAATTTAAATCTTGGAATATAAATCTATAAAAGGCTTTTTGTATACTCTGAGGGGCAAATATTTTCTGTATCTTATGGCCTCATTTTTGTCCCTAAAAAATGAATGAACTGATTGAGTCATGTCTAAGAGCTTGTGCTAAGTAAACAAATACATACTAACAGGTCAATTATCTGAAGTGTGGAGATTTATAGCTGAACCTGATATGAAAACTGTTAAGAATTGTGATCCAAACATGTCTGTTTTGAAGCAAATTATTATTATATTCATCTGTAAGTCTGAGTAGCTCAGGACCGAAGTGATATAATGGATTAGTTTCTTTCACAGCAAGACACAGTTCAAAAAAGATAGGTGAAACCAAGTATAAACTTTCCCTCACTTACTGAGAAAAATGATGAATATACTACTATCCAACAACATGTTTTCCTGATTATTTTGTGCTTTTTTTGTATACCGAAGAAATATTTATGGTCTGGCTCACTACTAGCTAACTAAAAATATTCTACAAAATTACCACTTTTTCTACAATTGCTTTTTATCTTTCCATCTACCATAAACATTAACTTTGTGAAATGCAATGACCTGCCTGGATTTATCTCATCCCATGCCTGAGAAGGACTTACTGCCAGAAACAGACAAGCCATTATACTTAAATCTCTGGAAATGCATTTTCTATGTACACTTTTGGGAAATAAATATTGAAATAATTTTCAGTGATATAGAAAAGAAAGGATGGAGAAGACTTTCACACAAAACAGCTGTTGGCAGAATATAGGAAATGAGTTATAACATTGAAATGCTTTTGAAAGTTTAGTCTTAGATCTAAGCCCAATCTATACATTTACCTCAAAAATCAATGAAAGGTGAGCTCAAGAGCACTTACACACCACTACATTTATCCTATAAGTTTAGCCACTAAATATAGAAGCAGGTGTAATTATTCAGCTCCACAGAAAATCCATCCCACACTACTCAAATATCTAAAAACAGTATATTTTCAGAAAATGTTTAACTCAAAACTCTTTCCCAATAATGTAAATCTTTTTATTTTAAGATTAATTTACAGAGTTGTTTTCTGTTGTGGTAGTAGCCATTAATCGTAGATGCCTTTAGAAAACAAATGCCTTTAGAAAATGCCAAGGCAATAGCAACTGTATATATTTTTCTCACCTATAAGTATTACATTGGACTAGTTTTAAAAGTCTGATAACATCAATGAACAAACTTGCATTTCATTCAGCATAACCTAAAATTAAGATCTAATGCTGGAGAACTAAGGAGACAACTTGATGTCTCCAGTTACTGGCCTCTACAAATGCAGTGAATGTACTATTAAAACTGACTCCAGAATGTCTCAGGTTGGCATTGGAACAAAACAGTATTTCTGAGTTGATCAATTTATTTCAACAGTACCATAGTATATGGGATATGCTTCTAACTCAATTCAACTGCAGAATGGATATCCAGGCAGTATGCAATATACTTATCTGGAAGTCATTCAAATCTTGATATAGTCTAGGAACTAGCAGCACAGACTCATAGTTTACAGCAGGGGTGTCAAGCTGCCGGTCCGCAGGCCAGACATGTCACGATGAAACCGCGCCCACCCCATTGCCGGCAATGGGGAAAAAGTTCCAATACGTCGCGCAACATCACATGATGTCGTGGGTTTGACATGTCTGGTTTACAGGATAACTATATAGATTGTAAAATCAAAGATGCATCTAGTTTTCTTGTTTATACATAACTGATCTTACATGTCAAAGAATGGATATCAGTATACTCGCATACTGGCAAGAGTTGCAAAGCTCTAAAATATCCCAGTATTTCCTTAATAATTACGGTTTAAATATAGAGTTACAATTGCAGCCCCATTTCATGATTAAGCCAACCACATGAGGGTTTTGCTGAAATGACCAATTTCCTGGAATATGCCTCTCCTGTTGCTCATTGATTCCTGCAGGCAGGTTCCTGGTATAGAAGAGAATAGCTCTGTTCTGGAAAAGTTCCAGGTTGCTTTAATGAGATTTGCAGTTTGTAGTCTTAACAAAAGTTTATAATCATTTATAGTTAATAAACTTCAAAGCAGATAATTTTGCTATGTATCTGGAGTGCTGTTTTTAAGAGCAAAAGCTATTAAAGGCTTAAAAAAATTATCAGATTCTTAATGATTATTTTTCATGCAATTTCATTACATTAAGTTACGTAGATGTTAATAATTATTCCTTCTAGTTTAAGAGAAAAAGCTATAAAAATACACACACGCACACACCCACACACACATATATATATGACCTACAGCTACTTACTCTGCACAGACTGAGTAAAAGCTCTGTGTGTGTGTGTGTGTTTGTGTGTGTGAAGGCTTGTTCTCCGAGCTTATGGGTTGGTTTCCAAAGGTTTCATTACCTGGGTAGGTAACATCTTCAGCTGAGTTTATAACCAATATACAGATTTACTTAGTTCATGGATTGTCAGAAATTGCTTATTCAGCAATTGTTATATATTGTTTCACATATTCATAAACAAATGATTAACATTCTTGACATAAATTTGTACTTTGCAACAACTCTATTATAATCATGTTTTGCTATCTTGGTTGGCCCATTAAAAATGGTTTTGTTTCTTATAAACTAGCTTTAAAAACAAAACCGCAAATTATGCATTGTGAGAAAATGGTTAATATGAGGAAGTACATAAAGAGTCTCATTGCTGAGGGCATCATCTTCTGAGATGGTCTTCTGTTCAAACCATCCTTTCCTGGTCTTTGATATTTTTATTTTATTTGTTTATCTATCATATGGTCATGGCAAGTAACTTTGGACAGAGGAACTAAAATCATATATTTCATCATCACACAGAACTTCCTAAAAGCATCTCTACTGTACAAGTCCTCCAACTTCCTTCAGTCAAGCTAGCTGTGAATTCAACACATATGGCGTCTCAACACATATGGAGTAGAGCAGATTCCAGAAGTTTTGGCAGACATGTATACAGCTAGGGTGGTGCAGTGGTTAGAATGCAGTATTGCAGGCTAACTCTGTCACAGTCATGAGTTCGATAGTGACCAGCTCAAGGTTGAATCAGTCTTCCAGCCTTCCCAGGTGAGTAAAATGAGAACCCAAATTGTTGCGGGCCTATGCTGATGTTGTAAACTGCTCAGAGAATGCTGTAAAGCACTATGGAGCAGTATATAAGTCTAAGTGCTATTGCTATAATACAATCTGGTATTTCTTTTCTTTTCTTTTGATTATTTGTTTTGATTGTCACTTTAGTATTCTGGTCTTTTATATTTTCTTTTAATAAGCTGGTATTTAATTCTAGTTTCCAAAGTCATCTGGGAGTTAGCCAGCCTATAAATAAAATAAATAAATACTAGACAGTCATAAGAGCTAAAGATCTCTTAATATTACAAATCTTGATATTTGTTCTAATTTTGCCATCACCTCTCTCACTTTTTATGCCTACAAAGTATATACCTACAATAGGATAGTAGCCAGCAGTTCCATGCAGAGTTTCTTAGGAATGGGCAGACTATTGCTTGTTAAACTTTACAGTATCACTTTATCTCCCAAAAATGTGTTCATGCCGGATTCACCTAGCTGACTCTTTTGACTAACTTCAATTAAGATCAGATGAATGGGGATTAATAGAACATTTGATGAGCAATATCCTTAGGCTCAAAAAGTCAAGGTACTATCATACAATTAGACAAAACAACACAAAGGATACTTCAGTATGGGCTGTGTCAGAAACAACATTCAAATCAGTGTGAAAACAAATGCTATTATCCTCAATATGCCTCATGAATTTGTTATTGTCAATTTAAAGGCTGTTAATAATTAAAAAGTAGTTAATGAACAATTTAAGAAAGAGAGAACTTAATGTCCTTTAAAAGTCTCTGCCTGGTTGCAAACAAGATGGTTAGTCCCATCATCTCCAAGTGCTCAATCTTGCAAAAAAAAAAAAAACTGCTGTCCTGCAAATGTATTATTATTATTATGGATCATCGCACAGTCAGCCAGATGTTCAGACTGGATTTGGCATTTTGTCTACCTATCGAGTCCTTACCCAGGACCTGGGATAGGCAGATGTGGATGTTTGATGGTATTACAGATATCGTCGCAGGATGGAAGCAGTTCCTAGTAAGGCCGCCTTTTGCAATTGACTAATAGCGAATTTGTCAATGCCAATGGTGTTCAAGTGGTGCTCCAGTTGTTTTGGGATTGCACCCAAGGAGCCTATGACTATTGGTACTACCCTTGCTTGCTTTTGCCACAGTCTTTCTATTTCTATTTGTAGGTCTTTGTATTTTGTTATCTTCTCCAGTTCTTTCTCTTCTATTCTGCTATCTCCAGGCACTGCCACGTCCACTATCCAGACTTTTTTGTCTTTCTTATCGACAATTGTTAAGTCTGGGGTGTTATGTTGCAGGTGCTTGTCTGTTTGAATTCTGAAGTCCCAGAGCAGTTTAATTTTATCATTTTCTATGACTTTCTCTATTTTATGATCCCACCAGTTTTTGCTTACAGGCAAATGATATTTTTTGCAGATCTTCCAATGCACCATTGTTGCTAC